GAATGAAACACTGCCCAGTCCTGTGCCAGTCCTTGCTATACCTGAGCCCGTTGCCAATCCATCTCGTTGAGGACCTTCCCCTCTTTCATCGACCTTCCACCTTACCAAGCATGATAGCTTTCTCCAGAGAATGGTCCCTTCGACAACATGACCAAAATAGGTGAGACGAAGTCTGGCCATTCTTGCTTCCAAGGAGCATTCTGGCTGCATTCCTCCAGGACAGATTTGTTAGTTCTTTTAGCCGTCCATGGTACTCTCAGCATCCTTCGCCAGCACCACAGCTCAAAAGCATCAACTCTTCTTCGGTCTTCCTTTTTCATTGTCCAGCTCTTGCATGCACATGAGGCAATTGAAAATAACCATGGCTTGGGTTAGGCGCACCTTAGTCTTCAAGGAGACGTTTTGCGCTTCAGCATTTTAAAGGGGTCTTTTGCAGGTTTACCCACTGCAATACGTCATCTGATTTCTTGACTGCTGCTTCCTTGGGTGTTGATTGTGGCGGGACAGATATTTTTAAATGACGAGTACACTGAGATCATCTTTATACCTTAAACCAAAAACATGCCCTGAAGTCTTCTTAAAATCAACCAATAGTTTAGCTTAACTAGTAAAACAACGTCTGTCTTGAGTGTTATGCTCTTATAAGAACTATCTATATGGGATCAAACTGACAACAGCAACTGGAAAGATTAGCTAGGAACCTTAGTGGGCAATGAGTTTATGTCCATGGGGGAGGAACGACTCAGAAAAGGAGGGTGAGGATGGTCACACAGCCTGAACTATGGGAAGAGTGTCGCTGAATTGTATACGTAGAAATTGTTTGCTTGCTGTATACTCTCAACAACACTGACAAAAATAAAATGAATTATAAAAAAAATAGGAGTGCAGGAACTTACAATGCACAACAATAAAAGGCGCTTTGGTGGCGTAGTGCCTAAGGCATTTGACTGCTCACCAGAAGGCTGTCGGTTCAAACCCACCAGCCGCTCCTCAGAAGGAAGATTGGGCGGTCTCCTTCTATAGAGATGCTGCCTTGGAAACCCAAGGAGAGGTCGCTATGAGTCGAATTGAATTCTCAACAACACCAACAAAAATAAGATAAATTATTTAAAAAAAATATGAGTGCAGGAACTTGTAGCACAGGTATATGAAAAGAGTTACAGTAAAACCTGTGAAAGATGGAACTTGTGTAAGGCGGAAACTTGTCAGAGAAGGAAAACCCCAATATTTTTTTACTAGTAGAAACAGAAAAGTGGTCAGACTGCACTCTGTCACAGGTGGAAACTTGTGAGACTGAGAAAAACAAGGCAGTCCTGTTGAGTTCTGGCTCCCACAGGTTTCAGTGTATATGAAAAAAGCAAAACGAGGCAGCAGTGGGCGGGGACTGATTCCATGCGCACACACGATCCCTGTGAACTGTCCTCCAGGCCTGCCTGCACGCCCTCCCTCCAGCCACACAGAGAAAACGGTGAGAGGTCCAGGAAATACGTCATTTTAAAAAATTGCTTGAGGGCCAGTCTAAATGTGTTTTTGACAAATCCCAGTCGGATTAAATTCGGGGTTCAATGCTCATTAAGTTATTCTCAGTAGTCACTTAAGTTTCCCAATAAAGGCTTTTGGGGTGGGGAGATGCAGCTGGGGGTCCCAAGAGAAAGGTCGGTCTGTTGTTTGTGATGCAGGATCTGAATCCAGCTACTGAGGGGGAGTCAAGAGAGTTGGGCACGTGTGGACAGAGGCAGGAGGTCCTGACCCTGGCTCCGTAGATGCTTCTGGGGGCGGTGCAGAGGACCCGGCCAGGCCAGACCTACTGAGGGCCAAACACTACCTGCCCGTGACACTAAAGAGCAGCAGCTTCGTGTGTTTTGTTTTGTTTTTCTCTCATCTCTGGTTTTTTTGGAAAAACACCCAACCCTCCTATCAGATCACCCCAGCCCTAGCAGCACCTGCAGCTAGTGGGCCGGAAGTCAAGCTAGAATGGAGGGGGAACCAGCGTGTGCTTAAACCACTGCCCCGGGGGACCTGGTTGGATTCCCCCATCAGGCAGTGGGGCATGTGCCCACCCAGGGGGCCTGGGGCTGTGCTCTGGGAGGGGGAGGGGCATAGAGTGAAAGGTTGCCCTGTGGCCTGACCTCTCGAGGGTGTGCAGGGGCACCCATCCAGGCCCTGTTAGGACAGGGTGAAGCCCTCGAGCTTTGGAGGGCAAACCTTTTCAAAACAGAAACCTTTGAAGGTGGCCAAGGTTGTCCCAGGATTCCTGGCCTTCTCCTCTTCCTCTCCCCCTTCTTTCTCTTCTTCTTCTAGTTCAAAGTCTTATTGCTGCAAAGCCCTTCAAGAGAGGCCTCTGTGATGTAGTTGAAAGTATGCTGGGTTTGAAGTCAGAAGAGCTGTGTGTAAATTTTGGCCAATCGTGGTGACCAACCTGAGCCTTCATTTTCCTTATCTGTAAAGTGGGGCTAATGCGGACCCCTCCAAGGTTTTGCTGGAGCTTAGGGGCAAGATACGTCAATGCACGTGGACGTGCCCACTCCATCTTTATTGGTGCTTCAGAGGTGTTCAATAAATATTTGTTGTGCTCAGTAACAGCATGTGATTCATGTTCTGTATCCTGATTGTAGGGGTGCTTATGTGTGTGCTAAAATTCATAAGATGTACACCAAAAGAAAAGGCCAGTTTGACTCTATGATAATATTTTTAAAAGCATCTGGTTAAATTCCTTACCCTCAGACAGGTTTCATGATTCCCATTTTACGGACCCACCATTCTCACCTGGCTCTGTTCCCAGCGTCTCAGCTCAGTCTGCGGCCAGTGGCCTGCAAGACAGACATCGACACAGCGTAAGACCCCCAAACAACAAAATGGATCGGGGAGTGCTTCTTCATCATAAGCCCCTAAAAGTGAAAGTACAGGCCCTTTGGGGGAGTATGATAGTGGAGGGCAGGCCTAGGCTGTTCAAATTATTCTCTATCAGTACATACCTCAAAGCATTAGAGAAAGCTAGTTATTCATTCAAAGGTACTAATAAACGTGTCTTTTGGTAAACCCAAGGCCTCACCCTACCCAGGGAAGCCCAAGGAGGGTGAGACCCTGCTGGAGACAGAAGTGAAGACTCCCCCCACCCACCCGGGCCCCATGGCCCAGGGTCCCCGGTGGAGGTAGGAGAACAGAATTAGCGCCACTATGCAAAGCAGCAGGAAAGAAGGGCTCCAGCTCAGTGGAGGCAGATGCCAAAACAAGCCAGTTCCCTCTGGCAGCCCTGGGCTGGGGTTGCAGAGCGAGCAGCCCTGCGAGAGGCGGGGTTGTCATGAGACCCAGACCCCACAGTGGCCAGGGGAGGTCTGGTTAAAGGTGATTTAGGGAATCCGAAGAAAGAATGACAGAGAGGCATTTCGAGGTCTGCTGGGAGGTCAGTGAGAGCGCGGGCCGCCTGGCTCGCAGGCGAGGCTCTGTGCATCTGTGTTCCCGGCTGTGAGCCGCTCCCAGCAATGCCCAAGCCTGGTGGCTTGGGGCCATTTGTGGGGTCTCTGGGGCCCTAAGGGACCTATGGTGTGATGCTGGGAAAGTCTGAAGGTGTCACTTGAGTAAGGAATCCATAAAGTCTCCCTCTTTAGGATAATTCCTCTCTTGCAGGGCTCTGGATCATACTTTAAAAAAAAAAAAAAAAAAAGTCCCAGGCTTGGTGGAGGGCTTGTTGTTGTTGTTATGTGCCATCGAGTCATCTCCGACTCACAGTGACCCCTCCTTGGGTTTCCAAGGCAGTATCACTATGGAAGTAGATTGCCCAACCTTCTTTCCGAGGAGTGGCTGGTGGGTTTGAACCGCCAGCCTTTTGGTTAGCAGTGAAATGCCTTAGCAGGGTATGGGGTAAAACCAAACCAAAAACAAGGAGGTCTGGTGGCGCAGTGCCTAAGCCATTTGACAGTTCACCAGAAGGTTGGTGGTTCAAACCCACCAGCTGCTCCGCAAAAGGAAGATGGGGCGATCTACTTCTGTAGATTTGGCGGTATGGGGTAGAGGCAGGGAACCTCCACCCTCAGGGAGCTTCCAGTTTAACTGGAGAACCAGGGCCAGTGCGTAGGGAGCTATAAGAGCTGCAGGAGGCAGAAACTAAGAGACCTGTCAGGGCAGGGACCAGGACATTCCAAGAAGGCTTTCTGCAGATAGAGGATTGGAACTGGCAAAAGGGAGGTAGGGGAGGGCAAGACACTCCAGGGCTCTAGAGATCAGGACTGATGCTTTCTGAATGAATGGATACAGGGTGCAGACATCCCACTCAGGGGATGCCTGGTGAAAGCAGCTTTCTCCAACTGCTCTAGGCCCAGCTAGGGGAAGAGAGAGGGACAGGACCACAGAACCGAGCTGGGTCTTCAGAGAGAAGCTGCAGGTAGGCCCAGGAGAAGGTCACGAGCCCTTAGCAGTCACCCTCTCCCACAACCCTATGGGCCCACAGGTGCTCACTTTCAGACACTCCCCTCCAGCCCACAGCCATAAGATATCACAAGTCTGTATGTTGTTTCTCAAAACACATTGTTTATTCCGTGGGAGAATGGGCTCCAGGCCTAGGAGCCCCTGGGTGGGAGAGGGTGGGAGAGAGGGCCATAGCTCTCGGTAGCCTCTCTGAGGCTGAGTCCAGGGTCCCGGCCCTTCCCACCCTCCTCAGGGAGCTGGTTTGCTCTGAGTCCATTTGCAGGTTCTACCTAAGTCCCTGCCTTCCCCATCCTAAGCACGAGGGCGGAATCCACATCACACCCCTCAGAAGTCTGGTCCAGTCTATCTTGAGAGCTTCTGCTCCAAATCACTGCCCTGTGGCCCTTCTAGTCCAGGCCCTTCTGGGACAGCTGGGGACCAGGGGCTGGAGTGGGAGGCGGCTCTGGCAGGCCAGGCTTGGAGGCCGTTGGGGGAATCCAGGGAAGAGGGGCAGGCTGGGAGCCAGGCAGGCTCTGAGGAAGTCAATGGAGGGCCCAAGAGGCTCTGCCCTGAGGTGTATGGCAAGGGCCAGTCCCTCACTCCTGGCCTGGGTGCTCACCCACTGACCACTTCACTTCTCCTGTCCGCAGAGTCACTATATCCTCGTAGGTGGCTGTCTGGTCAATGTTCAAGCCCTGGAGACAAGCAATGGGATTCAGATACCAGTTACCTGCCTGACCGCATCAACAGAAGGTGACTGCTGACCACATGGACCACACAGGCGCTAGGTCCACCCTGCTCCTTACCTCATAGGTGTGGTCTTCTTCCAGCGCAGCCTTGCTGTCATCCTGGTGGGGGTAGAGAGCAGTGGAGGTCAGAGACTTAGCCTCCCCCAGTCCCATCTGCTGCTGGGCCAGGCCCCGGAAGGGCCAGGGAGATGGGGCCAGAGGTGAGGGGTCATAGGTCAGGGGTCAGGTGAGGTGCATCCACTTGGGAAACACGAAGCCTGTGCTGAGCTACCTCTGTAAACCCAGCCTGGCGTGGCCCCCAGGCCGTAGAAGTTACCATCATACTTTTATTGAAAGGATGAACGTGTACAGGGGCAACTGAAAGAATGAGCGAGTGATAGATGGGCAAGCGCTGGGGTTGGACCAGGCCAGTGGGCAGCGAGAGAGATGGGGTGATGAGGCCCCGCCTGTATCTGGCCGCCCCGTGGCCCAGCCCCGTGGTTACCTTGTCCAGCAGCAGGAAGATGGGCACAATGATGAAAAGGATGATCAGCAAGGTCTGGATCATGATGATGCCGTCTTTGAGTGTGTTCCGCTGCTTCAGCTGGGCCAGGGAGCTGAACCCTGGGGGAGGCGGGGCAGGGGAGGTGAGGCTGGAGTAGGGGTTCTGGCAGGTTCACACCTTTCGGGCCTGCAGTGGGGGTGATCTGGTGTACCCCTCAGGACCTGCTTCCCAGTGCCTCTCCTGGGGACTCTGAGGGCCATGGCCACCTCCCACTGGTGGCAGCAGGGACAGGCAGGGCAGGCTGGGCTGGAGGGGTAGGGGGTGGACACTAGATGAGTAGCCCGTGGTGCTGGCTGAAGCCCGTCTGCCTCTGCCCCCCTCCCTGGCTGAAGATGGGCTGGCCCATGACCCACCCATGACCCGAAGCTCAGTGCCGCAGCCCCAGTGGGTCGACAGGCTTGGCCCAGAGCACTTATGCCGGCAGAAGTAGATGCCGTTGTCCTCGAACTGGATGTCTCGGATGGTGAGGGTGAAGACCGTGCTGTTCTGGGTCTGCAGCATGCGGCTCTGATTCTGGGGGAGCTCCTGGGGCTCCTGGTCGACCTCTCGCTTCCGGAACCATTTCACAGTGCCCAAGCCCTCTGTGTGGCATTTCACCTCCACCACGAAGCCCCTTTTCCGAGCCACAAAACGTGGGTTCTGCCAGATTCGGGAACATCGGCTTCCTGTGGGCACCAAGGCCAGCCTCAGAATCCTGCTTAGTGTTCCCCCGGCCTCAGCCCCTCTTGAGTGCACTGACCTCGGCTCAGCCCCTCTTCTGTCCTTCCTTTTCAGATACAGGGTGTGGGGATGGGGCAGGAGGCAAAGGGATGTGGGGGACTGAGCCATGTCACGGGTCACAGGCCAAACCAATGACTCACCCCTTCCTGCCACCCCACCACCCATTGAATTTTCCTTTAGAAGGGCTCTCAAACCACCTCACTCCTTTCCAGTCTCCCATAGGTCATGGGAGGCCCACAGGCCAGCCTCCCCCTCTCCCTCCTCCAGGCAGGCGGTCTTGCCTGGTGCTCCCTCCTGCAGCCCCTGCTCTGATATCCTCAACAGTCGCCCTGCCTGCAGTGGCTAATGGCCAAACCCTTCGCCCGGCAGCTGAGGCCCTCTGAGGCCCTCCACAGCCTACCCACTGCCTGCCTTTCTGCATTATCTCCCTCTCCTCTCCTGCACAGGCCTGCTCAACCTTTGGTTCCATGAACTGTCTCAGCTTAGAATGTCTTCCTCTCCCCTGTAACTTGCTGCCCCCTCCCACCTCCTCCTTGAGAAGTCTTCCTCAGGCCTCTGCAGCAGGGAGCTGCCCCCCGGAATCCCTGAGCCCTTCGTGTGGCAAACCTTACCTCTGAGGTTTCTGGCTCTTTCTGAGGCTGAGCCTGACTTCCCCACTAGACAGAGCTAGACTTGACCTTGGTCGGGGGTTCCCTCTGGCTCCCCTCTCTGAGGTTTAGACAGCCTGACCCACTAGGTCTGAAGCGCTAATGAGGGTGGCAGCTGGCCGGGGCCAGGGACTAGGAGGAGAGGGATACTCTAAGGAGGCCAAAGCTGGACGTCCTGGGTGGGGAGAACCATGCAAGGCCAGGACGAGGGGCAACCACAGGGCAGCTTACAGGACAGTGAGCAGTCAAACCAGGAGTGGGTGAGGTTGCCAACCTGTGGAATCCAGGTACAGGTCCTCCGTTTTGGCTGCTGGCACCTTTTCACCTGCTGCAGACAGATGGAGGAAGTGGGTGGGGCCAGTTCAGGCCTCCCCAGCCGTGGTTGTAGAGTCGCCGTCCCGCCCCTGCACATTCCCAGCCACTTCCTCCTTCCTGGGCAGTGGCTTGCAGACCCCACCACCCTCCCTGGCCCCTGTACGGTGGAGATAGGAATGAGGGGACACCGGGAGACCTGCCTCCTACTCCCTCTTCCTGTGACCAGCAGGGTGGCCTTAAGCAGGCTCCATGATGACAGAGGAGGCAAGTCACAGCCAGGGGGCTCTCCGTCCAGAAAGAAGACCCTCCGGGGACATGCCTCTGCCCTGCCTGTGTAGAGCACACCTCCAGGGACACGGGGGTGAACTGCACACGCCCTCCCTGGCTCTCCCCTCCTCTGCTGGGCGCCCACCCTGGGCCCAGCTCTTTCGCAGCCAAAGTCCCGAGCCTGGGTCATCCTCCAGGAAGGAGGCCCCTGAGCCCACTCGAGGTACCCCAGACCCAGAGGAGACAGACGGCAGAAGGGGAAGTGAGCAGCAACAGAGGTGGCGGAGGCACAGGCCTGCGTGGGGTGTACCTGAGAGCAGCAGCACCAACACCACCAGCCAGTTGCTGGGCACAGGGGACAGCACCAGCCCGGCCATGGTCACCACTCTGTCCCGACCCTGGCCCTGTGACGACGACGTCTGAGGCTCCTAGGGGGAAACGTGGAACTGCTGGCTGCAGCTTGTCCCCTCCCCTCCTCTCACCACCAGGCCCCTTCCTGCCATGCAAATAGGGACCCAGGGGAGGCACCTGCTCTTTGGGGGCTGGGGGAGGGCGGGCTCTCATCAGCTGGGCTTTGCCAAGACTGGAAGGTCAGCTGGCTTGGGCACCACAAATGGAGTCTGAGGTGGGCGCCGCTAGGGTGGGGCCTCTGAGGATTGCCTGTCCTTCCTTCCCCATGCTCTGCTGTACTGCTCCCACCTCCCGGGGCTCGGAGCCTTCCATCCTGCAGTCTGCAAGCTCCTGTGCAAGGCATTTGAGTCCCTCTTTTATTCCTGCACACAGCCCAGGGCCCGGCACTAAGCGAGATGCACACGGGTCCATGGAAGAAGGCACGGGAAGCCCCTCCTGCCCTGGACCAGCCCACACCCTTCAGGCAGAAGAGCACTGAGGAAGGGCCATGCCGGGGTAGGGAATGAGTAGTCACGGACCCAGGCCAGGCATCTACAACAGCCCAGAGCAGAGACTCCTGGCTGCAATGCAGGCGGCCATGTTGGGAGTTGATGGAGATTTGACATTGAGGGGGATGAGAGCCAGAGGGACGCTTGAGCAAGAGTAGGCCAAGTATGGCGGCCACTTGTGAGAGGATCTGGTCCAGGCCCCAGAGACAGGTGCCCCCTTCCTCATGCTGGGGCAGAGCTGGCTGGAGTCCGCCAAAGCAGGTGGAGATACCTTAGAGAAAACCCACGACTCCACAATCTGGGGGTTTCTTCACAGTTCTTAACTGCCAGGCTCCCAGAGCTGTTGTCCACAGTTCCAGGAGGTCTTGGGCAGGGGCTGGGGGCTAATGTGGGGGAGTCTTCAGGTTCAGAAAGAAAAGACTCACTGGCTTTATCCTGCCAGTCAGGGGGCACGGAGAGTAGATGGGACCCTAGCATTCAGGGGCTCGTCCAAGCTCCGCTTGGTGCTCCAGCCCCAGGCCAGACGCAGTCCTCGCCCTTGGTGGATGGCGCACATTACAAGCTCCAGCCCCACAGCCACACTCGCTCTGAGTCTTACGTCTCCTTGCAGGCTCTTTCCGCTCTTGTTCCCCTTCTCTCTCTTTTCCCCCCTGATTCCTCGGAGAGGAGGAGAGACGCTAATCCTCACTTTTGGGCTGAGGGAGGCAAGGGTCCTGGCCCCTCAGAGTACTCTCTCACCCCTCAGCCTGGGCATGGCCCTCACCTGGCAGCGTGGGGTGGGCAAAGGCCAGGCCCTGACCTCTTGAATGCGGAGATGGGAGGGGTAAGCTTTCACCCAAGGAACTGCCTGTTCCAGGCAGGCAATCCCAGATGTTCTTACTCATTTCCAGATGTTCCCGGTGGGGGAAAAAACATTTCTCTGAAAATGTGTCAGATGTTCAGTTCACAGAACAAACAACCTGGGAATATAAACATCACCTGAGGTCAGCTCGGGAACCAACAGGTCCCTGGGGTTGGAGCAGGTCAAGAGAGTCAGGTGGAGAGAGAGGTAAGCTCCCCCAGGATGGGAGCAAACTCTAGGGCTCTCTTACTTTAGCAAACTCTATCCCTCCCAAGTTCCTGTGATGGGGAGACCTTGGTTAGCTTCAGACCCGGCGTCCCCCCAAAGTTGGGAGGGTGGTTGGTGAAGGCTTGGGTAGGTGTGTGTGCACGCATGCTCATGTATATGTACACACGTGTGTTTCCTGGCTGTGTGGTTGAGGAGGAGGTCCTGGGGCCCAGGGTGACAGTAAGGGGCATGGAGATGGGTGGTTGGCAGCCTCCAAACACGTACATCAGCATCACCGTGGGCAGGGATGCAGATGTGTCCTTTGGACCTCATTCCCATTCATGCTGGCAGGGATCCTTTTTCAGGAGGGGTGGGGGCAGTGGGGCCCACGGGATTATTTATCATAGTTGGGCCATGCTGTTCCCTGCCCCGTGTGACAACAACACAGCTGGACCCAGGGCTGTGATGCCCTTTTCCCTGCCTGAACAGGAGGCCTGGAAAGCCCACCCCGTCTCCGCCCCCAGCTGCCCTGGGCTGCACACCCTGACATCTGGCAGCCCCCCAACCTTTCCAGGAAGGCAGCATCAAAACAAGAGTTAGGGGTTAAGGGGTCAAGAACAAGAGGCTCAGGGTCGACAGGAAGCAAAAAGGCAGGGAGAGGAAGAAGCCCAGTGTACAGAGGCTCAGACTTCTGGCCTCTCCTCAGTCCAACTTCACTGGGTCAGCCTGGGCTTGCTGTTAGGGAGGAGGCCTGGTGGCTAAGAAGGACACAGGTTCGAATCCTGACACTGGTGTACCATGTGGAAAGCCTCCCCAGGTTACCCAGTGGTTCTCGGGCGTGTGTGTGTGTCCCAAGCATTTTGAAATGTGCGAGAACAATTGGGATGGTTGCCGTGACCAATGGGACCCCTGGCATTTGTGGGCCTGGGGTGCTAAAGACTCTGCAGCGGGAGGGGCAGTGTGGTGCACTGTCAAAAGAACATCCCTGCTCCAAAGACCAACAGCACCTCAGTTAAGCAATATTCATTTCTTAACTTCTCAGAGACCAGGTTTCCTCATCTTTGTAAAACAGAAATAATCACGACATACGTTCCACCTTGGGCGGTTGTGAGTGTGAAGCACCTGGAAGAACAGGCTGCTCTCCATAAAGGAGTGAGCAGCGTGGACATGCGGGGGTGGTGGGATGTGTTGAAATATTAGCTTGTGTTTTCTGTTTCTCCTTCAGTATTTTACCATTTTTTCTCCCATCATTCAAGGCTCAGGGGAAGGGTGGGCCAGGCATGCTGGACATCTTCCTGCCCTTGGAGCCAGAGAGGGCCCTGGTGAAGTTTGGAGAAGGTGGTCTTTGCCCAGGGAGGGGGGCTGGCACCCTGAGCAGAGAGCTGCCCCTGGTGGGGGGCTCAGAAAAGCTCCACAGAGATCCTGAGCGCCCCTCTTCAACATGCAAAGATAACTGCAAGGTGGGGAGGGCCACTGGGATAAGGCTGAGGGACATCTAGGGATGGCCTGGGGACCAAGGCCCCATGAGGGTGGGGGCCTCTCCCCATGCCCCACGTGGTGCTATGTAACCTCGGGTCCCTGGAGAAGGGGGTGCACCAACGCTGAAAAAGATTGTTTACACGTTTGGAAAACACAGGCCTGAAAGTCAATAATCAGGTTATAGAAAATAAAACGATTTAAAATTATATTGCACTCAACTGGGTTTGCTGACTCAGTGCTCTGCGTAATAATACTCTTTGTCACAGGTCTATGTGACTGGACTCTTGAGGTCAGAGGTGCCATTGTGGGGGATGATCTTTGGGCGGGAGGGGCAGCACAGTGTGCCCCACAGGCACCTTGAGGTCTCTAAAGGAGAGGGGATGGGCTCCCAGAAAGGGGGGCTGCGGGAACAAGGGCCCCTATGACGTATTTCCTTGGTGCTGTCACGGATGGGAAAACGGAGTATGATGCTGCCTGTTGGGGGGGGGGTATGGCCACTGACTCCATGTGGCCTCTTGGTCTCCAGCTAAGAGGATTTTGGAGGGGGGCAGGAGAGAGTCAGGCAGCACCATCGGGGGTTGTTGGGATTTTTCTTATCCTGCACTCCCAACCCCCTGAAGGCTCCCCATATCTTTCCCGTTTGCCTCCCGTCCCCACCAGCCTCTCCTTGCTGTCCTCAGCCCCGGTCCACATTCACAAGCACAGGCACGGAAGGGAGAAGGCCGCACATCAGAGGCAACAGAGGAGGGTTTATTGTAAGAACTGTACAAAGGAGCCCATCCACTGGCCTGGCAGGAATGGGTGGGGGTCTGCAGGGGAGGGGCCGTGGGCAGGGAGAGGACTAGACCCTGTTCATCCAGTCTGCAGTCTGCAGTCTGCACAGTCTGATGGAGAAGGTCCAGTCCAAGAGATTTCCGAAGCTCTTGGGGCCATGCCAGTTTGGGTCCAGGAGGGAAGAGCAGTGGGGCAGGGTGCCAGGCAGGGAGGAGGCTCACCCTGATTGGATGAACCTTCTGAAGGAAGAGACAGAATCACCACAAGAAGAAATGGAAGGAGTTGAGGCCTCTTTCCACAGAGGAGACGCAGGTGGGAGATGGGGATCCAAGCTGGGCAATGAGTGTGATGACGAGAAAAACAGAGGAAGGGAGAGGGGTGAAGGGGGCAGAGAGAGCGGGAGGATGCCCAGGCAGGATGGAGACGAGGTGAGAGGAGATGGGCCCGGGCCCTGTATGCACACGCACACACACATCTTGTTTTGCTGTTTCCTAAGTTTAATCACACTGCTCACGAGAAACACAAAGAAGAGGAACTTAAACCAACACGGGACTCAATGTGCAAATCATACCACATACGTTCATGCCCATACACACACTCACGGCACAGGCTCACATGTACAGCCACACTCATATGAACAGAGCTGCACAGAGGATGCACACACACCAACCTGTACTCATACAGGGAACTTAAGACATTATGGGGGCACAATGACACATATATGCAAATATGCACATCTACACACACACAGTGCAGGCTCACACTCACACATATAGGCACACTCACACAAATAAGCCTGAGCAGAAGACACGCACACACACACTAGACTGCATTCACATAGGGAACTTTAGACACTATAGGGGCACAATGACACACATATACACAAAAATGCCTATGCACACACTCATGGCACAGGCTCACACTTACACATACAGGTACACTCACATGAACAGGCCTGCACAGAGGACACGCACACTCCAGACTGCATTCACACAGGGACCTTCAGACACTATAGGAACACAATGACAAGCATATATACAAATATACCTGTACATTCACTCATATGCAGGCTTCACAGTACACAGTGGCTCATTCATATGTACTCACATACTTGAACACACACACACAGACATACAAGCGGACACAGAGGCCACACAGGTACACACACAAAGTGAAT